TTTTTTTTTTTTTTTTTTTTTTTTTTTTTTTTTTTTTTTTTTTTTTTTTTAATATGTATTGTAATTAATTCCAATATCCAATGTTGATTGGGCGCTGCTTAAATCTGTTGTAGATATTGCCGACAAATAAAAAGACAAAAAAGTACCCAACGCAAATGCCTGCTGCAAAGCAGCAGCCCCAGCAACAGCAACATAGTACGTCACAGCCACAGTTTCAGATAAGCAAGGCTTACAATGTTGTTTCCATACTAAAAACAGCTGCAAAAACGCCAACAAATGCCCAACAAGCGACGGCTCACATGGTACATCAGACACATCTGCAACAACAGCAGCAGCAACAACAGCATCAACAACATCAACAGCAACCACATCAACAGCAACAACATCAACAGCAGCACCATCAACAACAGCAACAACAGTCGCATCCACAGCAAAGCTACGCAAATGTCGTTAACAGGCCATTAACATCGGTTAATGCACAGCAGCAGCAATCGACAACAGTTATCTGTAGCGGCGGCAATATAATGTCTGTTAACAATTGTCAATTAAATCTGAATTCGGCAACGATTCAGCAGGACTTGAATACAGCCGCCATCTATAATCTAACAGGAAATCGTGCTGCTGCTGCTGCTTGCGGTAGCAATAGTGGAATTATCGAAACAAATTGTCGTCTATTATCGGACATCTCCAAGTCCAGTCAAGTCGGTCCAAATAATAGTCAACAACAGCAACTGACAACTGTTGCTGGTGTCGGCAGCAATAGCAATAATAGTGGCGGTAACAACAACATCAATGGCAACAACCAAAGCATCATTACTCTGGCCAATTCTCATGGTCTAACACTAGGCTCATCGAATAATCCCTCTGTCTATATGCAAGACAAAACTCTGTTGGGGGCTGTTGGGGTTAGTGTCGGCGTCGGTATCAACGTCAGTTGTATCGATACTAGAAAATACGATTACAAGAACAATAATCTGTTATCGAACAGCAATTTTCCACAAACAGTCCAAGAGGTAGGCAACTCTAAAATTTCCGCGTATACCCTAGAAAACGTTGAAAATGCGAATTGCGGGTATAATAGTGCCTTTTATTATAGTTCTTTTACAGACCGAAGGATACGCGACAATTCAAATAACGTAGTATGCACAGATCTTGTATTTTTGTACTCATTCAGGAAAGTGAAATGAGTATATTTGTTTTCTGATATGTGCGGCCATCTGTCAGTATGAACGCAATGCAGTGCTATTGAAGCAGGAGACTTTGTATTCTCTCAGTTTATAAAGTGTTAAAATTATTTCGGTCCGCCCAATAGAAGCGTGGCAGATCCGAAAATGCATTTTTCGACATACCTAGAAAGAACTAGAACTAGAAAGCTGAAATTTTGAATGAATGTAGATTCGGCCACCCATGATCAAAGCTAAAGCTGAAATTTTGCACGTGAGCTGATGCTGAAACTCTATAAAAATCGCGGACAAAATAAAAAGTAAATGTCGGGTTTGAAGATATGGTGATTTTTCAAATTCTGCTATATTTTAGGCACTATCAACTCGGCCGTACTACCCAAGACCAATGAGCTATAGCGAATGTATCTACGCCCACTGAAGGCGTGGCAAACCGAAAAAGTTTATATATCCTTCAGTCTAAGAGCTAGAAGCTTCAAATTTGGATAGTTGAATTTTTCGCCTCTTTGAAGGCGGGGCGTATTGTAAAATACTCTGTAAGTTTCACATCTTTGGAGCAAAAGTGTCCAAAATGTATTATTAGTGAACTAGTGGCGCGTTCTAAGAACTGGCCAAAAATTATGCATAATATTCCCACTGAAATCATAGTTAAGCTACCGTCAGAACAAACAGTTTTGGCAATGGTATAAATGTGTAATGTAATAGGCGATTTCTCGTTTTGGTCTTTTCATTTCATTGCCAGAGCAATTCATATTAGTAAGTGACACATGTTATCTAGTTGGAATAGATTGTATAGGATGTTTATGGTCATTATATGATTGCTGAAGTCATAATCGTTGTTTTTAAATATGTTTGTGTGATCTGGAGGGCGCTAGAAAACTAAAAACTAAAACTATTGATTGCATTTTACAGTATGTTTCGACTGGCAACAACAATTCTGGAAACAGTCGATCAAATCAACAAAGTGGAATTTATCGAGGACCACAGGCAGCGTCAAATCCGCCCCGTAACAACGGCACTGGCGGTGGAGCCCGTGCCCCCCATGTTCATATGCCACCGATTTACCCGAATATGGTATTGCAGAATTACCCACAATATGGCCAGCGACAACCAGCGTATCCGGCGCCACCTTTACAATATACGCACACGCCCATACCCTATTATGCCTATCCATATCTTTCCCCATTGCCACAGCAACAGCCGCCACCGCATTCACGCAGCGGCGTTGCGGTTAACACGAACTTAGGCAATACAATGCAATCTGTGCAGCCCGGTGGACCCAATGGACCGCTGTCTGGTCCTGGTGGTGCGACACCATCTCAAATACAGTTGCTAACAGGTGCTGTACAGCCAGGCACTAATACGGTTATTGGTGTTGGTGGAACAGCGAGTGGTCAAGTGGGTGTGGGTGTCAACGTCAATGTTCCGCCAATGGTTGGTGTTATGTCAGCTAATGTGACGCCACAACCTGTACCAGTACCGCAGCCGAGTAGGCGACGACACCAGCATCGTTTACAGATTATCGATCCGACAACAAAAAAGAACATACTCGATGAACTGGATAAGGTAAGAAATACTATATATTGAGATAAATATAAATATATAATAAATTGTATACTTATAGACTAATGGGAGTACGGAGAATGATCATCAGGAGGCAGTAGCTGCTTCTGCTGCTGCTATTGCAATTGCACCTGCTGTTCCGTCTGCAACATTAACGGCAGCAACTGTCGTTGCGCATCCAGATGCCTCAATGTGCATGACCCAGCCAGATGCTGTCGGAATCGGTTTACCCCCCAGCAGCGTGTTAATTCAAGGCCCAGATGCGAAGCCCAATATCCAGTACAAATTAGGTAACAATCATATAAGATATACTCTACAGTCTATGTATACGGTATCTATCGAAGTAAAACGACGAAAACGCCCATCGTGGCTAAAAGGAATACATTTAACTCATTACCCATAGTTTGTACTGGGATTTTCGTCAAGTTTACCGTGATAAATCCGCAGTCTTTAATCATTAACTATTTTGTTATTGTTATTTATTATTTTGTTAAGTAAATAAATTTGGTGTTTATCCTCTTTTAGATCAAATTCCCGCTCAACGCCAGGATATAATTGTTGGACAGACTCCAGTGGTCTCAGCCATGTCTGATGCACCATCTGTAGAAATATTGCCGACTTCCCAGAAAAATAAAAGTAAAAAGTAAGTTTCATACCTAACGATATATTCGTTGCTTGCTACAATAAAATACTGTTATTATATATATATATATATTTTTTTTTTTAGAATTCCAATAGTCTCTCCGAAAGATGAACTCGAGTCTTCGTCGTCATCTACCTTCTCTTCGTGTAAGTAGTCCGTGAATGATTTATATATTCACCATAGCGCCCTCACTTCCATAATTTATGTGCAGTATTGTAGAAATCATTTTTATTTTTTTGAATGAGTATTTTTATAGTTTCCTACATACGTAGGACGTTTTTGTTCCACTTATTAAATTTTCCACCAAATTAACTGACTTTTAAATATACCCAGTTAAAATCTTATTGAAATTTTCAGAGCGTAATCATATGGTCAAAATGTGTGTACATTCCAAAGCACAAGTCTCTAGTACT